CGGGGTGGACGAACTGTGATGCTATCTGAGCCAGCAGGCCAGCGGGCCACCGCCAAGGGGCCAGCCAAGGGCCAACGAGGAAAGAAAGCCCAGTCTATTCTCTCTCTCGCTCTCCACTTGCACATGCGCCCGGCATCTAGATCTAGGCTGATGACTGGGCCTGCTGGGGCGTGGTGGGGCGTGGTGGAGATTGGAGGGGGAGGGGGGTTACAGGGTACAGCAAAGCCCCAAGGATCCCCGGGACCCGCCGTCGCGTCCCGCCACGAAGAGGCCGAGGCCGCTAGAGGTCGACGAGATTTTGAGCCCTCCGCGGAAGCCCGCCCCTGTCCGCCGCAGACGCCGCTCTGCGAGCCCTCTCTTTGTAAGCCTTCCACTAGAGTGGAGCGAGAGCCTGAGACGGTGTGGGTGGAGAGCAGAAGAGAGACTCGTTCCGTCATTATTTTCTCCAGCAGGCGTGTTTGACAGCCGCTTGCGCGCTGCGCCCGTCGAGCGAGCACCGCCTGCTGGAGTGTCTCACGGAGTGTCTCACGAAGTGTCTCGCGGAGCAAGAGGGGAGCAGCGCCTCGCCGTTGGAGCGTGAAGTGAGCAGGCAGCGCAGGGGCTCGGACACGAACGGAAGAAACACCTCCCCTCCCCCTTTCTCCATAAACACACAGACACACTAAGGCACAGCAGTATACTAGCACGGCGAGGAAGGGACGCCACTTTGGAGCGAAATGATGATCTCTCAACGCACATGATTTGAAAGCCCTACTACATCGCAGCCGTCGGGACCCAGCAGACGCGGCGCCATCCATGATCGCCTATGCCGCTCGCCGTCATGGGAAGCGGGCGGCCCCGGGCGCCCCCCTCTCGATACTATCGCGGGACAAAGGCGACGACGCCCCCCAGACGCCGGCCAGACCCCGCGGCCGACAGCCCCGCCCCGCTGTGCCCAGGCTGTATGGGCGCGAGTACCTACGTGGCCTCGGACTGCACTGCCCCGCCGCGCCCCGCCGCCGTGAGTGACATGCACGCCGCGGAATGCCACACAGTAGTCAGTGAGCGACCCATGGCCCAGCAGCAGCAGCAGCAGCAGCAGCAGCAGCAGCAGCAGCAGGCCGCCCCGTTAGCCCCCGCGGCCTGCCACGGCCACGACGGCGTCGCAGGAGTCGCTCACCTCACGGCGCCCGGGGCAGGCCGCGCGCCGGCCACCCGTTCCGGGTCCCCTGCCCCACCCAACCTCGGAAGTGCGCCCCCCGCCGCGCGGATTGGACCAGGATTGGACCTGCCGGACGCGAACACGTCGCCCGGGGGGCTCGCGCAGCTGGCGCGCGTCGCCTCACGTCCGCGGGGGCCGCCGATCGCCGCCGCATCAGTATTGGAGCAGCGTGACCGGGCGGCCGTATGGCTTAATTAAGAAATAGGGCCGTGGCCAATCTGCCGGTCACGTGGTCGCCAACAACAACACCAGGGACAGGAGGAGGATGGGGGACGCGGCGTGACGTCGACTGGCGGGTACCGCCGGGTACCGCAGCGAGTACCGGAGGAGCGACTGTGCAGCTATGCACGACATTTATGAAGGGGAGAAGCGGACCTCACGGAGAGGGGGGGGGGGAGGGGCAACGGGACGAGGGGCGTTCGTTGTCCCCCCGCCGTGTGGACCACCGGAGAGCAATGAGGCAACGAGCGGCCTCGCGGGGCGTGGCGGGGCGTGGCGTGGCGTGGCGTGGCGGGGCGTGGCGGCGAGACCGTGGTGTATGTGGGGAGGCGCTCGATCGGGCCAGCGGCCAGCCAGCCGGAGCCGGCCGGGTGGCCTCCCGTCGGTCGCTGCCCACCACCACAACCACCATCAGAAATTCAAAATAATACACGGCGAAGTGGACGATATAATTCACCTCCCCGCTTTTTATCCGCGGCGGTTAAAGAAAAGCTGTGCGCGGCCGCCGTGGCACGCGACGCGGCGCGCTAACGACCCGCGGCACCGCAGCCGCCAACCCCGCCCCGCTACGCCCCACTACGCCCCGGGGAAGCGACACGGCGACAATTCATTACTCAACTAGCCCAGCCCGGCCCGGGCCGGGACCGCGGCGGCGGGGCGCGGCAGCGTGGCGTGTCCAGGGCGATTAGGGGCGGGACGGCGGGGGCGAGTCATGCAGCCGATGCGCCTCCGGAATGGGAAAACTTAAACAGGTTTTATGTATCCAGGAAGGTATTCCCGCGGGGCCGCGCCGGCCGCGCCCGCGCAGCGACGTGATTGATCTCGCTATGGCAAATTGTTTCTTTACGTGCCGTGCGGAGGGGATAGTAAGGGGCAAAAGTTTTGTGGCAGAGGCGCAATGGCGTGCGGCTGGATGTTCTGGATATCCTCCTTCGGCAGGGGCCACTGACCCCGTCCCCCGCCGCCGTCCAGACCAGAGCGCCGCGCGCCGCCGCCGGCCCGGGGCAAAGGCAGGTGCGCGGCGCCGCACTTGTGCGACTTCTCCCAGAGAGGGGCCCGCCGCCGACCCGACACTCGAGCGGAGCATCAGGGGCCCGACCAACCGCTCTGGGGACAGCATGCTTGCACGCGGCCGCGACAGCAGCAGCTGCTGCGGGACACCGCCCGCGGCCCGCGAGAGCAGTCTCTCTAATGCCGCGCTGATTGGCCGCGGGGAGGCATCACGCGCCGCCAGCCAGGACGGCGTCGTACCGGAAGGGACAGGTCGGCGGCACGCGGCGGCTGTTGGCCCACCAGGAATGACCAGGCCGCAAAAGAGATTCGCGCAACCCCGACTGGGCCACTTCCGTCGTGCTCAGCCAGCCTGGCCGCCTAACCCGGGGCGGGCACGAAGGTGCAAGGGCCGCGGCCCCGGGCAGCGGTTCGAGAGGTCCACGGCAACGGAATTTGCACGGCGTGCGTCCTTGAATGACGAAGCAGCCGTCCGCCGCGTTCATTGGGCTGACGACCTGACGTCATTTCCGATCAATGGTCGTCGTGAATGGATCCACGACGGTATCGGGTCCTAGAAGGGTCGGACAAACCGCAGGACTGGGCCGCTCCGGTTCACAAACGCGCACTGCAACACTGACGACACAGCACGCCGACACGGCGCCACGGGCGGCGCGGGGCAAAGCTGGCCGACAAGCCCAGGACAAGCCCCGACCGGGGCGCGGCCGGGCGGCGGCCAGGCCGCGACGTGGTCGGAATCCTAAAACACATGCATGACGTGTCCCGGGACGTGTCCCGTGCTGGACGGATTATGTGGGGGGTTCGCATGCGTCTTTCGCCGCCCGCCGCAGGGCGAGCCCATGGGCGAGCCACAGGAGCTTTATGGGACTTCTCCGAACCCGGTGGGCTCACGCCCCCCTCTCCCCCTGGCCTCGGTTAGGTCTCGGCGTCTCTGCCGGTCGGAGCCCAAACGCCCCGAGAACACAGCACAACGAACTCACCATTGATCTTGCTGGACGAGGCGTGGAAGCCGGGGATCTTCTTCCAGGCGCGCTTGCTCCAGAAGCCGCTGCCACCGGCCCCGCCACCGTGGCCCTGCTCGGGGCCGGGGCCGCGGCTCGGCACCTCCTTGGCGATGCTGTGGCGGTGCGCGCTGCGCTGCAGCAGGTGTTGCGGCGGCAGCAGCTGGGGCTTGCCGTCGCGGCCCAGATCCAGCGAGCGGTGCTGGCGGTGCACGGGCCGCGCCAGGACGGTGTTGGGGTGCGCCGGACACGTCACGTACTGAGCGGCGTGGAGGGCGTGCTGCGGCGACCCCCTCAACGGGGTGCTACCGCCCGCCGGGGAGGCGCCGGGGCTCCCGGCCACGGCGGCGGCCGTCGCCACCGCGACAGCCGCTGCCTGCAGCGTGGCGGGTAGCTGACCATACGCGCCCGGCGACTGGTATGGCGAGGGCGTCGGGGGCGGCGGAGGAGGAGGCCGTCGCAGAGAGCCACCCCCGCCGGGCAGCGCGGTGCCGCCGAGGCCAGTGAAGGGCGGCATCTCGTGCATCTCCTGAGGCGTCACGGGGCCCTGGGGGGCCTGCGGCTGGGCCTGCTGCAAAGCCTGCGCGGCCTGCGGGGCGGCCAGCGGCGAGGCCGCGCTGCCCGGGGAGCACCCGGCAGGCGACAGCAGCTCGTCCGTGGGCCCCACATTGCGGAGCAGGTCCTCCAGCAGGTCCGGCGCAGGCGGCACGCCCGTCAGCACGCTCGTGTGCGCAGGGCTCGCCGTCGTGTAGCCGCTGCGCTGCAGCTCGTGCTCCGTGTGCGGCTGCTGGGGCTGCTGGGGCTGCTGCTGCTCGTCGCGCTGGTCCCCCGTCGTGGGCATGAGCATGGCCTCCACGGTGAGGTTGAGCTCGCCGAGCACGCGCCGGTGCCGGCTCTGCACGGAGCGCACCTCCTCCTCCAGGGCGGCCTGCCTCTTGGCCGACACCTCGCCGATCTCCTCGTAGATGTTCTCCTCGGTGCCGTAGCGCGTCATGTACGTGTGGCGCGCCTGGCGCTCCATGACGTGCCGTGGCGTGGGCACGGCGCCCGGCTCGTAGTAGGCGTACGAGTACGAGTAGGGGCAGTCGGCGTGGTGCACGACGGGCGCGTGCTGCTGGTAGACGCGCGACCCGCCCTGCCCACCGGGCGCGGCGCGTCGCGGCGACTGCTGTTGCTGTTGCTGCTGTAGCTGCTGCTGCTGCAGGTGATGGTGTTGCTGCTGCAGCTGCTGTTGCAGTTGCTGCTGTAGCTGCTGCTGTTGCATCAGCTGCTGCTGGTGGTGGTGCTGCTGCTGCACCTGCTGCTGGTGGTGGTGGTGGTGCAGCGGCGACATGGCCGCCGGGCTGGCGGCGCCAGGCATGCCGGGGATCATGAGGGCGGCCGCGTCCCCGTCGGGCGGCGGGTAGGGCGGCGGCGGCGGAAACTGCAGCAGTGGGCGGCGACCGGGCGAGTACAAGGGCGGCGGCTCCATGGCGGCACCGCCCCCTGCAAACAACAAGCGAAGCAAGCGTTAGGACGTTAGGCCATTCATTCTCACTCATTCGCTGATAAAACCAGATGACGACTGACATTTGAGAGCGCGAGTCCCCACGCCGCTGTCTGCTAAAAGCCCGCCC